GTGCCGTGTGGGGAAACAAACTCATGGCTTCGAACCGCATTGGAGCGGCTTGATTTATTGGCTTTCAAATAATTACGGCATGATCGAGCTTTTACTTTTTAATAAGAGATTAATCCCCTGAGCCATTCAAAATACTCTCAGATGTATGACAATGCTGGGAAAAAATCAACATGGTGGGAATACTTTTTATTGCTTAGGGAGTCACCGAAAAGTTCAATACGTTCAAAACGACCAGTATAAAAGACGGAAACGCAGAGCACGGGTGTAGTGTTCGAGTTAGTGTGGTGTTCTGTTGTATTGATATTTGTGTGTGCCGTGTATGTGCTCAATGTATGTTCACCTGATGTTAGTAATAAGCGTAAGGTGTGTATAGTAGAGGATCCTAAGCGCAGTAGTGGCCTAGTGGCCTGAAAAGAGCTAGTTATTTTTTGTAGAACATGAATTGGGCGGTACCTAGCGCCACCTAGCCTAGCTACTTGCAATTACTCTGCTTGACCCCGCCATCTGGTGCCTAGCGAATTAACCTTTCACGCTGCGCGATAAACAGCGGCTTCGAGTTTGTTCTTTCGAGAGCGGCTTTTGGTTTCGCGGATTGAGTTTGCCCTTGTCCGTGATTTGCGGTTGACGAAGGAATTGTGACTCGAGGAACACCAAAGGTAAGACGCGAAGTGCGCGAAGTAACTGGGAATCGGTTGTCTCCGTTTAACATCGCAGTGCTGTCGACGGGAAGACTGAGTAACTGCTTTCGAAACGCAAGTTTCTGTACCTGTGGGGGGAATCTGGCTTCGAAAATAAACACAGTTTGCGGAAAGCTCGTGTTACGCTTTTATTTGCTGCTTCTCTCGTCTTGTACCAGAGACGTAGCGTCCTTGTCAAGCCTTATTGGGCTCGATTTTCTCGATTCGGGGCCGCCATATTGAGATGCAAGCGACGGAGGAACTTTGCTCCCCTGCTTCAGGGACGAAAGTTTCTCCCTTTCTAAAGGAACATAGGTTACAAGACCGTTCCTCCCCTAAGGGAGGACTATCCATACCCTTTTTTCTAAGTGTGTAGTCACCACAGTAAATATTAGGACTGGGCAGTTCATCGATTGACCTACCGATTAATTTGTTAATGCATTAAAATTTATCAATTTTCAAAACCCGTTAAACCGTAATTTTTTGACGATCAAAAATAAAATATAATTGAAACGCTTCCAGCAGGCAGACGTGGACGAGGCCACCTATATGAAGGGCAAACTTCTGGTGAAACTTTACCCTAAGCTAATCTGTAGGGGCAATACCTGTAACTCCAGACAGGTGCACGTATCCCGGCCACTTTAACGCCTCCGAATATCCGTTTAGCGCAGCAGAGACTATTCAAAAAATAAAAGGACGTCGCTCTTGCCGGGGAATATCAACGATCCCCTTTGCCTCATGCAGCTTAAGTGTGAGTGTCTGCACCATCTGTGAGTGAGTGTCTTTCAACTGTGTGTATGACATATTCAGAAAAAGCAAAGAAAAATGAAATTATTTTGACATTTTGAAATATTATGCATTAAAACAAACGTGCCCGGTTATGAGAATAATTAATCTATTAAAGGATGGCGATTAATCGCGTTAAAGTTTTAATCAACGCCCAGCCCAAATATGGTGTAAATGAGCATTATTTGTTCGAAAGACACTTGGCTCCTGGCGTTCTGCTGCAGTCCGGTCTCTTGTTTAGCCCGCCCATCCCCTACAACGGACAACCCCTAGGTTTAAAGTTCCAGCTCAGCAAATCATGACAGAGCACAATACAGGTGGACGGCGGCTCTTCGTGAATAATAATCGCAAAAAACTGCATTTCATTTGAAAAAAAGAAAAAAAAACTACGTGTATTTAAGCAACGCAGATTAAAAGTAGGGAAAGAAATTGTAAGAAATGTTCATTGTGCATTTTCAGGCGGCCGATTCGTTTGGACGAAGAAGCAAGCGTTCCAGAATTGACTCTTTCTTCTTACCACCGAGGAAAGAAGGCTCATCACCCAGCGCATATACGTCGCCAACAGCGTCGGGTTCTTCATTGACGGGTACCCTGCTCGCGTCATGCGTAGCATCATTGTCGTTAGACCTTTCGTCTGCCAGTGCTTTCAGCACTTTTTAAGAGGATACGTCTGAGCTGTCCAACTCATCAACAGGAAACAAACATGTAGTTGACAAAAATATTTGTATAAATATGCACGAATAACATCCACTTTGCTGCACTCAACTAAGTGTCAAAACAGGACGGGGTAACTAAGAATTGCATGTGCATTTGCGGGCGGAAGATGCATCTGACCCAATGAGCAAGCGCTCAAGAGTCGAACCCGTCTTTGTACCTATTAACAAAGAAGCTCCAGCTCCGTCAAGTTCTTTGGCGGCGCCGGTGGCATCTCCCTCTGTTTTTTTCATTCACCCTGTGCCGAAGTGCCGCAAGCGACTCCTCGTGCGTTTCCTCTGTCGCAGCCTCAACGCCATTTTCCCTTTCGGCAAGCGGATCTGTCATCTACCCGCAAGAGGACTGCACCCTTTGCCGGACTCAACGTGACAAATATAGGAAGTGAGTGAATTAACCTGACGCTTTGTAGCCTATAAGCCGTTCATCCCTAAGCTGACTGTGTGTTGGAAGCTACGTGCTCGTTGGAACAGTCACGCGTCTATCTCTAGCCATGTGACCACGCTCTCGTTCATACCCACGTGCAGAGAAAGGGACGGGTCAGGTGACCGAAGGAAGGTGTTTGATTGGTTATGGTCAACTGGTAGCTCCCTCCGCGTTGTCAGCTTAGGGAAGAAAAAGTATTGTATCGTCGTGATGACTTGTCGCCTTAAATCTGCCTTGCCTGGAGTTCGTGAGCTGTGGCCTTCCAGCGATGTCTGTACACGTAAGCTTTCCGCGCTCGCCTTTCCAGCCTGTCTTTGTGCGCCTGTTGGGTTCTTCGTACGAGCCTTTGCGCTCAGATGGCAGTTGTTAATTTGCTCTGATGTCGCACGACATTTCACCAAGCAAAGGATTTTTGTTGTTGTTGTTTTGTTTAGAGCTCGCAATCGATCTTTCTCATTTGGGAAAAGTTTTTTTTTTTAAATAAGCAATTACCTTATAATTACTGCCCGAGAGTAATTTATTACATTACTAAATTACCAGCCTAGAAAAGTAATTAAATATTATCATAAGGAGTAATTTAATTACTGTAATATTATTATAGTAATATCATGACTGTATCTTTGGTTGCTATGGACGAATTCGTGGAAGTGAATTTCGCTCCGAAAGAACCATCGTTAAAAATTGGACGTGCAATTAAAAAAATCTAAAAAAAGGAAGCTTAGATTTTACATTTTTCCACGAAAGAGGTTTGCCTAGAATCGCGTGTTTTTGGAATATTTGCAACGGCAACTTTCATTCCTCGAGATGTCTCGAGGTGCCTACTGCAGGCGACAAACGCATACGGAATGACTGAAGAATTCCGTCTGTAACAATATTAATCGTTTGCATAATGACACGATTTAGACCTTGTATTTATTGGGAATATGGCAGGTTTCAAAGAGACTCATCAGGATTATGAAAACAAAATGTCTTTGCGTGCGATACGCGATACTCTCTGACAAAAATCGTAACATATATGAAGATCTGCTAAAAATACAGCGAGTGACGCATACCGTCATACCACTTTTTGATTTTGCAGCTGACGTACATTGAAATGAAGGAGCAATTATTTTGAATCTAACATGATCGGTTTGAGACACGAAACTTCGTTTTCCAGGAGTGCAATATGGGTGTGTGCTTTGTATGCACATGCTCGTTACCATCACACTGAAAGAAAAAAAAATTCTGCGGATTCTTTCGCTTTTAGTAGAACCCAAAACGCAAAAGAACTGGATAATAATATCAGGCTACTTATATATCTGTTACGCAGAGTTCGTTTTATCACACAAAGGTGCAATGAAGCAAATTCTGTGCCGTCAGAACTCCTTGTAAGGAGTGCTGGCCTGCATTTCGACTTTGATGCACTTCACGTCGTCGTCGTACGTGATTTGGCTTCACAGTGGTGTTCTCCCCTCTCAAACTTTGCGGAAGTCTCCACGGGCAGACAGTTCGCCCGCTCGCGCAACTCTATCGTCGATCAAAGTTGTGCACGGGCACTCTTCACTTTCAAAATCCCACAAAAAGTTGACCGCACAAAGAGTAATTTCGTCGCTCATAACCCACTTAATTTAGCGCAGTCACCTACAGCCTCAGAAAGAACCACTGATCCTGCGACGCCATTGTGTCGCCTGCTAGGACGGCTACACCTGCTGTGAACCTTGATTACGGGCGTTTATCGTCACTCCATAGCACTAAAACGATAAAAAAACGTCTTCATGATTAGATATTGAGAAGAGAGAATTAACTTTTTTATTAGAAAATTTTAACCTCACGTCAAGAGCAAATGCAATTGTCCCTAACAATGGCCGTAGCGACGGTTTGTTTGAAGCAGAGCGCCTGGGTGTGGTGTCATCACTTACGGGACCAACGTATATTTAAAAGTGAAACATGCAGAATGAATTGTTCATAATCGTAGGTAACAGCGCCATTTGGTTGATAAGGCTGAATGTGTCGTGTACACTCTAAAAAAAGCCCGTGCGTCTTCCTTCCCGCAGAACACTCGGAGAGCCAATCCCCGCAACTTACCATGCCATTAAAATTTGCAGGAAATCACACTGAGGCAACGGAGAGTTTCGAAACTTTGACATTTGGTTCGAACCACTAGCGCTACACGGTGGGGGAGAATGAGCGTTCGGGGATGCTAATTTTATTTTTTTACTGAAGAAACCTTGCAGATTTTTAGGGGACACCCTGTATGGTCATGTTTATTTCTTATTTAGTGTCATTTAATTTGTCACTCCCTTATTTTTCTTGGGACAGTGTTTATGACTAAATAAATAATGCAGATTGAAACTTCACTACTGGCCATATGAGATTGTAGTTTTATTGATTCTCAAAAAAAATATCTTCTTCTGTTTTGACTGGCTAGCAGGATGAGCTTCTATTGTACAAGTTATAAACTTGGGTTGACTATATTGAGGCTCCTGGTGCTCCAAATTAATAAAACACAAATATGTCAGCATCGCCAATTTGCCTCAGACGGAATGCGTTGACCTTATCCTTCGGTGGAAGGCTCCGGCACTTTCGCTGTGGTTGTTGAAACAGGTTTTATCGTCACTGGCAGGAATTCTTTGACGCATTTTCCGTCGATGCAGACACCAGTGCCCAGCAGGAAGATCTGAAATAATTATATATATATATATATATATATATATATATACTTTGTTTCAATTTACTTGTGATATAACTTTTTTTAAAAAGGTGAGGGTCTCTTACGTGGGTGCTGTCTTTACTGTGTATTTAACGGGATCGGCTGACGTAAACGGGTCTATTTTCGTCACGATAGTTTGGCTAATTAACTAAAATTGCCTAAAACATATTTGTTGTATGAGTCCTCTTTCAATTGTAGTATTAAAGCCAATCACTAATAACCGCTAGACCAATTTATAAATTTTGCAAACGGTTATGGTTTTTGAGATATTCATCGATATGTTTTCGCATGCTCATCGGCAGTTCGAAATGTGGGGCAAACAAGAGCGCCTGGTTATTTAGTTTGGAGCGCCCTAAGTAATCTGGAAAAGAGTGACTGGAAATTTGTCCATATATAATCATACTAACGTTCAACTAACGCTAGTGTTTTTTTTTATATGGTTAGGTATGAGATAGCTGTGAACGGCTAGTAGCGCCAATTTAAACGCAACAGAGTTTCCTGGCAGATAGTATTCCATTTCAAAATAGTTGGTACATAAGATAATGCGGTTCACGGTGACATTTCTTTAGACTGAGCTGATGGTACTGAAGAAATTATAAAATTAATAATAAGTGCAGTGACAACAAAATAATATGTTGAATATCAATGGGCAGTGCTTGAACTCGCATATTATTTGAGGAGTCGTGTATAACAAACAAAACGGCAAACAGTGTAAAGAAAGACAAAAGAAAATCGATTTTCACACGGGAAAAGCGCTGACTCTCAACTGAACTTTAATCAAAATAAAATCAATGACGAACACAACACGGGGTGATCAATGAACACGTGTCTAAAATATAATCTCTTTGGCGCTTAAATTCAGCGACGTCTGCCTGACGTTTTTCGGATCTTTCTTTAATCGCATATGCTTTTAAAATTTTCTGAGTCATTCAATCTTTGCTTTTGCCAATAATCTCTACCTTTTTTAAAAAGGGTTGAAACCTAAAGCCCCTTTATACGGAAAAGTAGCGACATCCTTTGAAGAATGCCGACTGCTATCTTGGGTCAAACCAGGCGGTGCTACCGGCGACGGGACGGTGTAAAAAAGCCAAACATAAAGGTAAAAGGCGTGCGCGTCAGAGGCGGAGGGAGAAGGAATGCCTATGCTGTCGAAGTGCAGTGCATGCTATGAACTCATGTAACCAATCATATAACGCCGACTGTGGAACGTCCCGGCTTTCATCGTCTTTCTTTGAGCACATCCTTCCAGGCTGGTAGACCATGACAGTGCGCTTTTAGCCTGTGTATGTATTTGCGTGTCTTTCAGCCTTTGTCTGCTCTCTGACTCAAGTATAGGTAGGCCGTTTGCTATCTTGGGCCGAACCAGGCGGCGCTACAATCGAGGCGCGGGTGTAAAAGAGCAAAACATAAAGATAAAAGGTGTGCGCGTCAGAGGAGGGGGAAGAAGGAATGCCTATTTGTTTGTTAAAGTGCCAGCTGAACGTTTTGAGGACACGCGCGTAGAAGAGAAAAAAAAAACAAAAAAAAACAGACACCCCGCTGGACTAGCAACTATTTTAATTAAATCTTCTTTTTCTTTAGTGTGCATATTGTGCTAAACGAATTCTTCCTCTTCTTTTATAACTGAACCTTCGTCTTCCACTATTCTTCTTCTTTCATGTGCCTGTCAAGTGTGCGGCTCTTCGCAGGTATACTAGTTCCTTGTGGTGCAGCGCGATTGACGGTGCACTTACGCAATGATCTCCCTTCGCGTGAATAACAAGGGCCTCAAAAATTTCTCGAGTAACCTTGGTGCGATTTTTTGCCAGGATGTCTATGTTGGCAAGGTTTGGCGTACATGTGCACGCCCGACAATGGGCCGCGAGGTGCCCTGCTGCTGTGATGGCCTTCAACGATGCTGCGCTCTCTCGTTTTGTCATTATTGCACCTTCCCGTTTGACCAATGTAGCATTTGCCACAAGACAAAGGAATCTAGTACACGACTCGAACACCTTTTGAACTTACTATTGTTTATATTTACCCACTTCTTAGCATAGGGACAATATGAGTGATTTTTAAGCGATTTTGTTTTGGTATAAATGTCAAAGATTAAACCCAGGTACCCTCAAAAATAACACAAACATCACAAAAAAAGCAAAAGAACTGGCATACTTTAAAATTTAAAACAAAAAATCAGAAGCACCAAAAACATTTTTGGAGACCCTCGGGGTTTTTCGTCAATTGAACTTCCAAGCACTATCCAAGTCTTTCCAGGCATGTCTAACACGGAAATACACCTCAACAGAATTTTTTTTCAAAGGTTGCTCAATGTTTTGGAATGTCGGGGACATAAGGGACCCAGTTAACAAAAATGGGAAAAGTGGCAGTTTTGGCGGGTAAAGCAAGTCGGCATAGTCCGTACTGGTGGATTGCCAACAGCCAACGGACCGAGGGCCTTTGGGCTGGACATCGGCAAAAACTGGGAATGTGAGTGATTAAAGTGATTTATTGTTTTCTGTTGCCTTGTGTGACCTTCGAGGGAATGAGAGGAGCGCAGCCTGCTGGATATCGATTAAGATCAAAGGACCCATATAATGAAGGAAGGTTTAAGTTATAGTTTCAAGTTATTTACAATTAATTGTTAGATTATCAACTTTGCACCATATAGCGTACACTTACCTGACAAGGTGTTCCAGGGTCCGCGTTCCCGAAACGGATGGGCCAGCCTTTACAAAGGTACCGACAAGGGCTGATGAAGCTCTAAGAATAGTACAAGTCGTGTTTTAGATGAGCGTATTCAGAGTATGAGACAAGCTAAATGCGTAGTTTTAAATGCCTCACTCATCTACTGTATGCATATAAATTTCAATAACGCACAAGGATAAAGGGCTTGTCTCGTTATGAAACCTCTTTTTCGCAGTCCGAAATTCAATCTTTTCAGGGTTATTTGCTGTATTAACGAAAGTTGTAGGGAAACATTTCATGAGGTGCCTAGGGGTTCGAATGTTCCTGTAAACTTGAAAAAAAAACTGTAAAAAAGCGAATTGTTTCCATGAATTATTTGTGCATCATAAAGATCTCCATTCGCATAGCTGTGAGGTTTCCTCATTACTCGACGCAGAAGGTACAAGCAGCGAGCCCCTTGCTCCAGTAACTAAAATTGAATCTGTTTGGTGCAGAGTTCGTCTGTCGAAGCAAAGTACTTTTACGGTGGGCAACCATTACTGCCCCCAGGTGTGGATAATATTTATAAACTTAGCCATATTTGCCTGCAATTCTTGATATGTCCGTTGTCCTTTTAATTAAATTTAATCTGCCAAACATCGATTGGGCCAACGCCGTTTTATGAATTATTAATTCCACGTTGCATAAATTTGTTATTGACTTTATTTTTAGTTTTCACTCAATTAATATGTTCCTGTACCAGCAAGAAAAACCTTATTTCCAATAACTTATTGACTAGTAACCCGCCGTTTTGTTTTGCCAGTACCATGATCCCTGGTATAAGTGGTCACAGGGCTGTAGTGGGTGATTTGCTACTGAATAAGACGAGAACATTTCCAATACCTCCGCGAAACGTTATGTTGTACGGGCAAGTTTATTATAAGCGGATTTCCGGTGAATTATTTTCTTTTTTAATATTTTCCTTTCTTTTTGAACTACAGCGTAGAAAGTGATGTAGACTGCCTATATTAATTTTGATACTAAACAAACAAAAATTGGCCGAATCTCACATATCATTTAGAATTCTAAACGAAAACTAGAAATATAAACCATGGATTGTTAGCCTATATGGAAAAAATAAAAAACTAAACGCTAGGCATACAAAATGTCGATCGAGTCCGTCTAACGCTACTAGACGAAACCCCGACAATATATCAGAAAACGTAGAAAAAGATGTCCACGAAAGCAAACTGGGGTTCTACGAGTCTTTCCAAGACAAACTAAGAATGGTCCAAGGGAAATATGAAAATTTATGAAAGCCAGCAACAAAAGTTATACTGATAAGCAATTAATGCAAAGGTGTAAGCGAGCTGGACAAGAATGGTGAAATAATCCCTGGATAAAGAGAACAAAGGGGACAAAGTACAGACACAAATCTCCAAACACAGCTAGTTGACTGGTTATTTTTAGCGAGCTTGATGACTGGTTATTTTAGCGGACCCTGGTTTGATGCCAAAACCAGGCAGATTTCTTCGGCTTGCAACAGTCACATAGCTGTTTTTAGAGATTTCTGTTTTTCCTTTGTCTGCTTTGTTTCCCTTCTCCAGGGATTATTGTCGTCATCAATGACATACGTCTATATTTTATTTGATACAAAACTAAAATGGATTATATAGTTCCAAAATATCAGAATTATTCAATCTTTACTTCAAATCGTTTTTAAGCCCTCCATTCAATCAGTACTCACATTGTGTCTGACCGGACGATAGATACGTCTATGCCTGATGTGACAGTCAATGTAGATAGGATTGTAGGTATAGACACATCAGAAGCTCACAGGCCAGATGACCTTTCAACAACAATTTTTCACATTTGCAGAACCGAGATTACAAGAAATACAAAAATTCCCTCGGTGGAGGTGTACTTATTGCAGTTCATTAAAGTATTGTTTCCAAAAAAAAATACAGATTCAAATTGAAAACCTTGAAAATAATTGGTGTAAACTTTTATTGGGGAATGATGAACGGCTGGCCGTAAGTGTTTTTTACAGACTATCATCTACAAAGCCGGTTGTTCTAAGATTATTATTTGAAATTGTTTCTGCTATTGGATGCACCAAAATTATAATTAGTGGTAACTTCCATGTGCCTGCAATCAATTGGAAGGTCAATAATCAAAGGTTTAGCGTACGAGGAGAAATATACACCGAATGTTTCAATCTTATGGATCTATGTTCCCTTGAACAGCACGGTTTTGAACCCACTCGGAACAATGAAAAAGGTCACATTCTAGATTTACTTAACACGCCAGATATTATCACAAATACGCACGTCGTTCCTGGAATCAGCGACCATAAAGTAGTCGTGGCAGATGTTAACCTAGCAAATACCAATGTTTGTCAGTCAAAATTACGGAAGGTGTTCTTATTTAACAAAGCAGACTATAAGGGTATGACGAGTGTATCCTACTCGTATTTTCGAACCTTCGAAACGTTGGCTGAGGAAATAAATATCGATGATCTGTTGCGTGTTTTAGAAATAAAACAACCGAAATAACCAATAGCTTCGTTCCTTTTAGGCGTGCACGTGACACACCTTGGGTATCTTGCCAGCTCCGTAGCCTTATTATAAAGAAGTGTTGGGCGTTCCTAAAGTACAGTAGCACTCAACTTGCAGCCGACCTTGCCAAGCTACGCGAACTAACTGAATACGTTAAAACTTGTACTCAAACAGACAAACAGACAAACAACTATAGTTTCAAACATTCGAAGAGAGGGCGAAGAATAACCCAAAGTCATTCTGGAGATATGTGCGTAACACTGGCAAAAGCGATATCTCCGTCCCAGCATGGCTTTGGTTAAGATTACTCGTGTGCGACACAGCAGGGTTTGTAGATTAACTGGCTGAGGCTCTTTATGGCCGTGATAATGTTGACTGCATTTTTTTTTATATTAGCAAGGCCTTTTATGTCTCCGACGAGTTGTAAATAGCGAAAATTCACGGTTATAAAATGTATAGAAATGTGGCATATTAGATACGCGAACATTTGTTTCTCCCTAAACAATACGTTTTGCTGAACGGTTGCCAGTCCGAATGCGCTGACGTGACATCAGGTGTTCTGCAATGATTTGTTCATGGGCAGTGTTATTCATATTGTATTTGAACGATATCATGAATTTTGTGTTACCTTCAATTCGCTTCGTTGCAAACGAGTGTTTCTTTGACGAAATATGTGCGAGAATGATGACGTCAACATTCCACGTCGATATAAATTCTAGTACTGATTTGGTGCAAGCTGCGGGAAATGAATATTAATTTAAAGCAAACTGTTAATATCACTTTTACTAGACGTCTTGTTCCCTATCTTGGTGCTTATACCATTAAGGACGAGCCCGTCATTGTCGCCTTTGAAAACACGTTCCTTGGGGTATTCTCAACCTCTACCCTTAGTTGGAATAAGCATGTTGATTATACTGTTTCTAAAGACTCAAGAATGCTTGACTTCCTCTATCGTAATTTTAAGTGTGTGCCACCTTCCCTGAAGGAAAAACTTTATTTTTAGCATGTTCGCTCAATTTTAGAATATTCTTTCACCATATGGGACCCTTACACTGGTACTCAAATGACTAAGCTAGAAAAGGGTACAAAACCGAACTGTCCGTTTGGTTTGAAACAATCATGACAAGTGATTTAGTATGTCAGGTGCGAAGGAGAGAGTGAGATGAAGGTAGTTCAGCTCTAGGAGGAAGAGCTTTCGACTAAAATCGTTTAATAATATAATTCATTGTAGAACTGCGATTGAGAGCAGAAATTATCTTCACCCGCCACATCACATATCGCAACAAAACAAATTCCGTTGTAAAATTGATGTTTTTATAAATTCTTTTTTTTTTTAAACCATACGGGGTTGGAACTGTTTCCTTGACCATAGCCTCCTCTATACTTACAAAGCCTGGGCGATCGCCACGCGACGTGACCGCCGAAAGTGAAAAAAAAAACGTAGAGCGGCTGACAAGAGTCATGTAACGGGCGCCCCGCTGCGGCGGGACACCGACACACTTGTTTCGAGCGATGGAATGTCCGCTCGTGTTTCTCGCGTTCCTCGGGCTACTGCTTCTTTTCAAGTCGGGCTTGAAAATCATGTTTCGGGTTCTCGCCGCTGCAAAAGTTGTGCGCTGACTAAAGGCTCCCCGAGAAATCCTCTGTGGTATCAGGTCCTCGCGCTCCAAATCTGCGACCGGGCTGTGGCCAGACTCATTGGTTAACATTGTTCCTAACTAACTAACCTCGCAGTGTTTCGTGAACCGCATTTTTAAGAAACCTGGTCTTTGCTGTGAGATTGAAATATTAATGAGATGCTAATATTGTTTTCTTAGCTTTTATATAACCACCTATATTTTTCATTACCAACTGCCCCCCCCCCCCCCATTCTCAATTGTATCGCCCCACAATGCCGCAGGTATCTGAATAAGCGAATAAGTATCTTAATATTATTTTCAGAAAATCTTTAGGAAGCGTTCTAGTCTCGAGCGGCTGAGAAAAAAGCAAATGTTCCTTTAATTTGGAGTCTGAATCAAAGAACGGAGTGTAAAATTACCCCTCGGTGACACTTACGTTCATTACTTGTAAACTGTTTGAGCATAAATGATATAGCTCAAAGCATAGTGTTTTAGATTCTAGTACTTTCTTTTTCACCAGCAGCAGTATGTCTTTCGTCGTAGGTTCGTGCACCACCCCGGTAATGGCATACAAGCGATTCGTCTCAAATGCCATAGACAAAACACAACGTGTGAATTGTGTGATTTTGGATTTCTGTAAAAGTTTCGACACCGTGAAGAATATTTATAACTGGAAAAACTTGTACCGTCAGGTATTAAGTATCAAATTATAAACTGGGTAGCTAACTATTTGCGCGGTCCCCAAAAAAGTAACAAAAAATGGTCAGAAATCTTTGCCGGTACTCGTAACATTAGGGATGCCGCGCGGAAGCTTGCTGGTACTTTTGTATTTTTCTGATATTTATTCACAACTTTTGCGAGAGCATTCGATCCCAGATTAAATTACTTGCAGACTATTCTGTACTACACAAAAATGGTCGAAAACAATTTGGATGCTCGTGTGAGGCAAAACAATTTAAAAGTACTGAATATCGGGAGCGTTGAGAAAAGTGCTAAATATAAAGACGTGCAAATATATACAGGGTGTTTTTTTTTTTTATTCTTGCAGATTTTTTTAAAGAAAGTCATGAAAGCTACACTTATGCGGTTTGTGTGAGTGAGTTATACGCCCAGGGGGACATTAGGTGGGTGGCTAATCTTCGCGATAAGTCGGCTGATTACTTAAAGTTCGTTAACTTTTTAATGAGTGAAAATAGACATATGGTTCCAATTAGAAACTTGCTGAGCGTTATCGAAAACCACTAAGTCAGTCATTTTCAGAAAGACTTTCAGTGCGTGAGAAGCGTAGTAGTGCATTGAAGTTACCACTCGTGGAGCAAGTACAAGGCTAGCGGTTGCGGTAAGGCGCCCGCGCGATTTTTCCGTCTTTTATCTAGTCCCATCTTTGTACCTGCTCCACGAGTGGTAACTTCAGCGTACTGTGGCGCTTTTCATGCGCTCAAAGTATTTCTAAAAATTACTGATTTTGGGGTTTTGGACGACGCTCAGCAAATTTCTAATTGGAACCATATGACTATTTTCACTCATTAAAAAGCTAATTAACGAATTTTACTAGCCGACTTATCGCGAAGTTTAGCCACCCACACAATGTCCCCCTGGGCGTATAACTCACTCGCATAAACCGCATAACTGTAGCTTTCATGGCTTTCTTTAAACAAATCTGCAAGAACAAAAAAAAAAAAACGGTATATTTTAGAGCGCAGCTCCTAGGCGCCCGTTTCCGGCTTGAGCCGCGTCGCCGTGGCCTTCGCCGTTGCCGTCGGCGTCACCGTCGGCGTAACCGCGTGGTGCATTATGGGAAATTCCTTTCCTCCTCCTCCCCGCACCGCGCGGGGAGGAGGAGGAAAGGAAGAAGGACGAGGGGAAGGGGAGGAGGAGGAGGGGAGGAGGAGTAGCAGGAAGGATGAGGAGGTCGTGGAGGAAAGAGGAGGGGTATGCCCCCCCCCTCAGTAGTACCCTTGCCTCCTCCTCCTCAAGAGTTGTGCTCTAATTCGGCGTTGCAGGGTGTTGTAAACGTCTTTCAATTTTTATTGTGTAATTTTCTTGACCGTATATGAGGTTAAAAATGAAATTTTGATAAATGTAACTACCTGGGAGTTCACTTTTTGTAGAATTTAAAATGGAATAATTACATCGGTAATGGGGTGGTAAAGGTTAGCAGAATGTTGTGTTTTGTTCACAAAAAGCTAAAGAATAGACCTCTCTGGAAAATTTATCAAGCAACATTGGTGGTCGCCATTGCTTGGACACGAAAAGCGTGATTGAATCCGAGTCCTCGCCGAACGCTGACGCAGCCCTCGTGTCCAATACAGGCTCAGAGTGCGTGAGCGAGCAATGGCGCGCAGGCGGACTTTTGAGAAGGGCTTATTAATCGCGCAAAGTAAATCTTACGTTATATTTGTTTTATTAGATCAATTTTTGAATATGCTCGTTTGATATGGCATCTGCCACAGGATTATCTCATTTAAACTAGAGCGTGTCTAGAGCCAGACACGAAGGCTTCAGAAAATTGACTATAGCCACTGCACGGGTTGTACTGAAGTGAAACACAGATTAGGCTGAAACTCTCTTCAAAATAGAAGAAAAAGTGTAAGAGTGAAATTTGTTAACACCATATATTACGAACGAACAAATATATAACATAAACTGCACGTTCTAGATCCGTACCTCGTCTCTTGAAGACTGTACCACTCGAAAAGTGTAGCACAATTTCGTTATCATATTGATTGTTTTTCTTTCCCATTTTTTGTCGAGACTAGTCGGGAGCGGAATTTACTTCTAGAGTAGTTATAATATAATATTAATATTATAATTCTTATTATTTCTTAAATGTGCCCAAAAATAACAACGCGGGTTTTCACTTGGCACACAAAATATAAAAAGAAGAAACGCAACACAGACATAGCATCAAATATACAAATTGGCATGGCTACGAATAGGTGGCTCACTTCACACAAAATGTAATACAGTTTCAACTTTCAACTGGAGTTGCCAAGTTCCAGCGAAAAACTAGGAGATCTGTGAAAATGTCCAAGCAAGCGCATGCGATTCTATTAAATGAAAGTTTTATATGGCACAGTGGTGAAAGTTTAGACATGGATTGAACGTAGAAGATAGTAACATTTCTTGTAAGGCGACAAGGAACATGAAAATCGACAGAATTCCGAAGTAGATTAGCATCAGTCCAACCATTTAGCATCTTGTGCAAGAATCAGATCACACTCGAATCTTCTATTTGACAAAAACCCGAGTAAAAGAATATTAGGATGAAATTCATAATCATGATAAAACCGAGGCTGAAAGTGCCTGTCATATAAAATGCCTATCATTGTGTTTTGCACTGCTTCAATGCTTAAAGACTGTCTACGTGTTAGGAAATAAGAAACTTTCAGACCACAGCGGAAACTCAAGCCGTGAATGAACTAAAGCCCAGAATAATCTAATCAAACAAGCAGGGCTTCTGAACTTTTGAGTTACGGGAGTTATAATACCAAGAGTTTCATCGCACGGTCAACAATAAAAGAAACATGAGCATTGAATGAGAACGCGCTATCAAGGTACATATCGAGAACTTTTATTACAGTCACGCGTTCCCTTGGAGTTCCTCTCAGAGAGTAAGTAAAATGCATACCAGTGTGTCGTCCGCTCAAAGAAAGAATTTTAGTTATTTGTAGGATTTAGGAGCAAATTATTCGCCATAGACCATTGCAGTATGTTATTCACTTCGTACTGAAGAGCGTTACAATCACGAGAAGAAGCAACGCGCATAAAAAGTTTAGCATCATCCGCCAACAGTAGGAGCTCACACTTTTTGACACATGTGGCTATATCGTTAACAAATATCAGAAACAAAAGAGGCCCAATAATAGACCCCTGGGGGACACCTGAAGTTGAATAATATAGTATAGAAGGGACACTAGAAATTCGAACATGATTCGTACGACTTCACCAATAGCTTTAAAACCAAGAAAGTAGTTCAGAACAACAACCGTATAACGATATTTTGTAGAGAAATAGCTCATGGCCAACTTTATCGAATGTTTTAGACATATCCAAATAAATAGCTACTACCTGTTGCCTGTTCGTTTCAATTTTGAAACGAACAGACGAACAGGCGATGTTATTTGTTTGGTGAAAAAAATAGAGTTTTGTTTAAGTGTAAAGATTTACTTTTCATTGTTGATTTATCTGTGTGTATTAAAAATGTGTTTCTTTGTACGCTTTGTTTTATGTACCCCTCTTCCCCCCGGCATAATGCCCAACGGCGCAACGGGTATTGTGTAAAAAAAACATGCCCACTCGTTCACTTAAAATTAAAGTGCCGGCAAATCTGTGTAAGTAAATTTTTATATGACACTCTCTCTCTCAGGAGCAAATGTGTTAATAAATTATTTAAGTGCCTTAATTTCTAGGTTTCATATATATAATACTTATTTTAAGAATGGAAGTGGCTCACAGAAATGGTTGCAAACGCTCTTTCGCATTTTTGTCCTCGGTCGGCAGACACCTCCGTCATCGGAAGAAACCAAGCTGAAAACAAATGCAAAATAAATTATAGTGGGATTCGTTATGGGAGGTCAAATCTTTGAGACCAGCATACTGATATAGTTACCGCAGGAGAGGAATACAACAAATTCAAACTTCCAGTGTCGTTCACTTTCTTGAACACATTTGGTTTATGATCTTAAAGAAAATCACGCGTTGATGCAAATTTACCATATATAAGCCAATCACAGGTATGTAAAAATCTAGAAAAATTATGAATTACATTGCCGACTGTAGTGACAAGATAGGTGAAAGTGGATTCATAGATAAATCATCCTGTCACTTGTTAGGTCGGTACTTCCAAATATCATTCATATTTCCCAATGCATAATACAACTCTCTCGTTATAACGGTACCAGTAGTAGCTAGCACCCAATGGAAAGCAAGCCTTGGCTTATTGGCTGTTTCGAACATCGCCCCTGTTTCGTACGCTGTAACTATGGTCATACTTCCAAAGAGTCACCAATATTAGCGCTATTAAAAAACGTACACTTTTTGATCATATTTCTATTTACTTTGAGCAATTATTTCATATATTACATGTACCTGAGGTAGAATCTGCGACAACCAAGACCGCGGCAGCCAGCAGGAGAAAAGCGAAAGATCCCTTCATGTCTGCGTTCTTCGTGAAGTTTCTGTACGTTTCTGTACCAAAGAACAGTACTTATAGCAGGGTACATTACCGGCAGCTTGACATGAAGGTTATACCCGAGGGGCCCAAATGTCTGCTTGGGTTTCTCCTATCGGTCGTGTGATGTGCCCGTAAACTTTGTTTGCGTGTTCTAAGGACATATAAGCTGATAAGAAGTGACTGTCGGAAATGAAATCGTTTGGCTTTGTCTCTCTGGAAACGTTCGCGCTAAAAAACACTGGCTCTGGCTCTCATTCTGCCCAATAGCACGCAGGGTGTCAAAATACCAGCGTTTCGCTAACGGTAAAGAACTCACGAGTTTCTGCGGTTCTTATTCTACGATTTCTCATATAACAGATATATTATTTTATTATCTTCGTCAGTCATACGTTCAAAATATATAGTTCAAACTGTAGGTTGTTCAAAAAAATAATCAGATTTTCTTGTGCTCTATTTACGATAGTAGTTCTTTTAACAATATAAATATCGGTAGAGAAGAAGAATAAATTAGAAGGGCTGGTCTCCTGACATTTTAGTGTCGAGGACGTGCCCACCTAAAAACCCCTGACGTCCCGGATCTTTTTCTATAAAGTATCCGGACGTACCAGATTCTTTCCATCAAGATAAGACATCATATATTAACCCAAAGTACACGTTCGTTTCATAAGAGGAGAAAATTATCCGTTGTATCTTTCCCGCTTTAATGGGAACAAGTAATACATTATCTACAGGAGTTCAATCTTAGTTTGTCTTACAGTTTCGTTTACAAACATAGGTCTGATAGGCTTTTTACACATGATGTAAGGTATAGGTTTTCAGAAACGGACAAAATAACTAAAATATTATCTCTTGTTCATATGAAACCGTTGTCAGAACTTTCATACTTCTGAAGTTACACGACGCACTCGGCTTCCCAAGTTCGCACCTAGCAGCTCCATATACACAGAAATAGGATCCAATTTTGAATTGTATAATGCGAAAATATCGGCATTTCAAATAAGCAGGCGGAACCTTCAAACTAAACTGAAAACCCTTTATTTTCATGGCCCCGATTTTTCCAGTATTGGGAAGAGGGGTCATATTCGAAACCATTAAGTTTCGCGAATTCTCAAGGCTGCAATTTGCCTCTCTATACCGTAGAAAAATTCGAATCCCCTATAGTTTGCGAATTTTCAAACTCGCGAAATTCCTGAAATTAGGGGCTCCCGACCATTTGGGGTATTAAAATAGAGTGAGAATAAAACGGTTCAGCCAAGTACAGCACGTTATCATATGTAGCACTCATATCTGCGACAGGTGAAGCCATCCCGATGTAACTGCGTTTCATTAGTCAACTATTTTATTTCCGGATCACCAAAAGCTTCGAATATTTGAATTGAACTCACTTATGTGATAGCCATAATATATGAAACGTGTCGATTGGATTTCAGAGGCCACGTTCCCGAAACTTTCTGACGACAAAAAGTTAGTAAATTTGTCTTACGACAAAGTTAGGAACTTTCGAGTATTCCCGAAGCAAAATGTTCGTACGTTTTGCGTAAGTTAAAGATTTGGTCCTAACTTATACAAAAACTTACGAACATTTTGCTTCGAGAATACGCAAAAGTTTGTAACTTTGTCGTAAGATAAATTTACGAACTTTTTTGTCGTAAGGAAGTTTCGGGAATCTAGCATCAGTTTCCTAAGCTATATAAAACCGATTCCTACCCGTCAGAGTTCTTTTTGCAGTGTATGTATTCTTGAAGGTAATGACGTAATAAATGAACCCACAAAGTTTTTGGTCTATATTCAGAAACAGTTCTTATTTAATCATTCCACTGACTACATCGAGCTCATTAGGAAGTACATTAGCTTAAAGAAATCTGGCAAAAACCTCTAAGCAACAGGTGCAACACCCTTCCTTTGCCGAATAGCGGCTTCGGTCACTGCGGCCTGTCCCATTTATCATTGCCTTCGTTGCTGGAGAGATTGTTTATGTTCTGTAGAGGCCAAATTGGGACTATTCCTCAATGTTCCCCATTTGCCGCACTTCGTTTTTATAATGGCGAACGTCGTTTCTCTTGTCCAGTGACTGACGCCGGCAGGTACTAAAGACCTCTCAGGCTTAAATGGGTATCGTGTAACATTGGCATTTTTCAATTTGTACATTACTATTTTTATGTAATGCCAGGGGCCTAAATATGAAGTGATATATTTCTTCCGTAATTTTTTTTTGGTAGTTCTCAGCACAGGCAATGAATGCATTTTTGTGGGCAGAATACGTTCTTTGTATAAACAAAACATAGCAGCACCATTGCATCTGTTCAAAAACAACAATTTTTTGCCGAACAAACGAAAATGTTCCCATTATGTTAAGTCCCTCAAAACACCAATTTGTATTTTTAAGGATAAATCATAATAAGGACGATCATAGTGTTCCACAGATATAAGATTGAAATGTAAATGTATTGAAACATGTGGCATTCGGTTTGATTGAAGGCTTTCTTAAATCCTTTGTTCTATCCGCCATTATTTATTCAAACTTTGTTCTGTAGCGTACATAACCTCCTGAACACGAAAACAAATGTAAAACCGTCAGCGGAAACCTCAAATGCCTTTGTTTACGTACGTCAATTCACCCCCTTGTTTTATTTGTACTTTCCTCGGATGGCGAGACATTGCTCGCAATCGTTTCATCATAGCCTTGACTGCTGACAAATTTATAACCTCCACTTCCATCTGTCCCTGTATTAGCGGACGTTCGACGCAGCTGCCCTGTTATGGCCCACCTCATAAGGAAGCGGGGAATACACATATACATCTTCCATATGCTTTTGGTGAGCAAGGATTTCTAGTAACGACATCAAATGTAACATCATTAGATGTGTCTTAAAAAGACTTAAAGGTGCACTAAAGACGTTTTTGAGATCGTCTGTTCTTGTTGACTACTTATTTTACCGACTCTAAGCATCCTAGAAATCCAAAACGTATGCTTGTGCGACGTTTACTTCCTTTCTAAAAATGTGATAGAAGTTTGTGCCACGGTCCCTTTCTGAACGGAAACATCTAAATTACAAAATTCAGCGGAGGCACCGGCGGCGTGACGACGTGACGCGCGTCAGCCAATCGCAAGCCGCCTTTACGAGAGAGGCGGCTTGCGATTGGCTGACGCGCGCCCGTCGTCACGCCGCCGGTGCCTCCACTGCATTGTCTGCTCCAGATTCTTCCGCTCAGAAAGGGACTGGGCACGAGCTTCGATAACATTTTTAGTAGGGAAACAGACGTGGCATGGCGGCATAATTTTCCGATTTTTTTAATGCGAACATTCTGTAAAATGAGTTCTAGAACGGACGATCTCAGAAACGTCTTTAGTGCATCTTTAAATTCACGCTATGCTTTGCTTATGAATCTGCCTGCTTTTATCCTTCATGATTCTTTTTTAAGATTTATTTTTGTGTTTTTTCGCTCCTTCAATAGACGCATTGCTCTCGCGGCACCACAACAATTGGTTTCACTGTGTACAAAATCCACACTGTACTTGTCATTACTCGAAGTGCAATGTGGAATTTATTGCGTATTACCTCTAATGAAAGTTGAGAGAAAATGCTTATTACAATATCTGTTCAACGGATATGAATGCACTTAGCTAGTACCTTGCACAACTCCTACAAACTTTGTGTGATGAAAATAAATCGGGATTCGTTGCGTTTTTTGTTTTCTTTTACTGTAATTTTTTTTTTTTTTTTGGAGTGGGGGCGCATCTTCTGATGGCTAAAAATACCACGGAAGTCATATCTAAAGCGTGCAAGGAAGTGAGGCGTTACATCTAACGGAACTACTTCTAATCAGTTCCATCTTGAAGAACTTAGTAATTAATTCCTTACTTTTTTAAAAATGTGTAATGTGTAATCATCTTATATATTTTGAGCTCTAAGTTACCGATAATTACTTGATACATATCTACTTTATACATATCTAGGTTGGAAAAGACTGCTGGCGAAGAGAGTGCTAGAGAGAGAGAGGAAATGAATTTACGTAAAACGGGACTTCCCAGAATCCACATTTCCAGACAACTACAGGTTGCCCTGTTTTCTTTTTTCTGTTTTAATATTCGGACTCCATGGATGTAACGCTTTACATAAACATGTCTTTTTTGTGCGTTCTCTCCAGAAAAAAAATTATAGTGAAAAGAAAAGAAATAAATAAGTTTTAAAAAATCAGGAGAAATAAATATAAACAGTATAACATCAAGCACTTCTCTATCTGGTGAAACTACGTATAGATGCATATATTGTTACCACGCTATAAAAAAAATCCAAAGATAAGTTTATGAAAAGACAAACGTGTTTTTTTGTTTTGTTTTTTGTTGTTGTTTTTTTGGTTTTTTTTTTCAACGAAGGATTTTTTCGGCAACTGATGAAGTGAGAATACAGCTTCCCTGCACTACCTGAGATTTTAAAAATAATTCCTGTCACCAGCGGTATTCTCTTAATAAGCGCAGAGCGTAGCACGCTTTAGGTTAGGGAAAACAAAAGCAGGTGGACGCGTTCGGAGGGTAAACAAACGCACGAGGTGCGTAAAGAGCTGGCGAACTTGCAGACCGTATAGTCCGAGGGACACTTAAATACCCAGATTTGGCCCCCGCATTATGTTTCCTGTTCCTCAAGTTGAAATAAATGCCCCAACGTTGTAGAAGAGGAAATTGCTTTGAATAGAGAAGTCGGATTGATTCTTAAACATATCAGTTTCTTTTAGGTTTAGAAAGCTCGCTTACTCTTGGAACGAGTCTTGTACTTTAATGTGAAATACTAGAAGCACGAATGACTAGGACAAACGACCACTAGAAAGAGAGGGGCAGTCTCTCCCCGTCCACTGTTTTAGTTGTTTTTTTTTTTAAATTGGTGTAACCCATTTACAATTACGCGCAGAAATTTAGAAGTACCGTGCCGGTAAACCAGACATGTTACCTTATTTAATTTAGGCTTTAGGGATGTCGTTTTGATTTATTGCTGAAATAGTTATATTGTTAATTGCGCCAGGAGTAAAGCAAGTTTTAAAATTTATTTTGCAATTGTTCTGGCGTTTTTTGTCAATTCTTATCGAAAAATTATTCAAATAAAACGGATCAGACACCGTCCAAGTAGTGATTAAATGGACTGTAGCAAAACCACCAGTGACTGCGGGTGAGACAACACTGAAAATAAATCGAGAAAGGAAGAGATTATATAGCATAAAATGTTTTATTCCACAAAATTCTGAATTGGCTGCCTTTAGGTTTTAGATAATTGGCTGTTAGGAATATCATTGAAAGTATTTTATTTCCAAAGCGCGTTCATCCATGTTTGTTTCGCTTTGCGCAGTCGTCATTCCAGGCGCGCGTCTATGGCTGGAATCCGACAGGGGAAATTCGATGTTTCAGGCCCTAAACACCGGTCGAAGGCACGCTTGGCTCCGAAGTCTCCCATCTTGCCCCTGGCGTAGTCCAGGCTGACTCTGTTCCAGGCTGCTCTGTTCTCCATTTTTTCTCATCGGTGACGCATCTTCCGTTTACGCAGCGGCCTTCGGCGCCTTTCCGTTTCTGCGTCAAGGTCGTAGTTCCGACATTCAAAGCATCGCTCAAGATGAACATTTAACATGAGTTCACAGCTGTTTGGCCCTGTCGCTCAGCTGCGCGGGCATGAGAACTCGATGTAACGGGAGTTCTACGTTTATTTGTATTGCTGAGAATGACTAATGGGCCTTAAGTTGAACACGCACATTCATTTTAAGAAAACACTAGGGCATAGAATGAAAAAAACTAAGTGTTGACATATAAGCCCTCATACTGAAGGGAACCATGAATTAAAAAAATGCGGGCTGAAATGATAAGAATGTCGGTTCCCTTTGTATTTAGGCTTTTTTTTTTTTTATTCGTTTCGTGAAGACGCATAACGCCACCACACGTGAATTATTCTTGACCTAATTGGCATCGGGAATATCAGTGATGATGATACTCGCTCGGAAAGTTCAGCGTCATAAGCGCTTTTTTTCGAAAAAATCGCAGTATTAAAAACAATATCCTAGGGAATTTTTTAATAGCCCCATGCCCAAGAATGGCGGCAGCCTCGCGCGTTGGTGTCTCCACGGCGGGCCATAGTGATTGATATCTCCTACAACTGGCATTGTACTTTTCACCGTATGGTGCTCGTGGGCTCCATATTGTGCTAACTTTCATCCACCGTCGAATTTATTCGCCGGACCGGTAGCACCACAGCCAGGGTACAAAGCGCGACAAGAAATAGATTTGACAGTCCCCTGCGAAATACAAGAAGGCAGTTTGGACCTTTATATGTCAATGCGCAGTACGGGGCGGAGAAATGTACCGAAAGTTGGGAACAAAATTTATCCTGGCTGCAATGTGGCATCCTTGGCGAACCAGTTCATGGTCACAAACGCAGCCCTTCGGTTACGATGGTTAGGCCCCTCGCTGCCATTCTACTCTGCATAGTCTATACGGAGAGAAACTGAGAGGTGAAGAGGGCGCTCGGAAACGTCGGCGCCCTGCTCCGATTGAAAGGATTGTATGTAAACGCCAAGGATAGCTGTCTTTGTCCCTATACAGGGTGTGCGGAGGTAAAGAGAAATCAAATAAGGGCTGAACTTCCCGTGGAAGTAATTTATTTCTGGTTAGCTATTTTCTTTTGTTTTGGAGAACCCTCAGTAAGTATCTGGTACTTTAAAAGTCTCAGCGCCGAGGACTAACAACGGTGCCTCCTGAAATGTACTTATACGGGATTAAAATACATTCCTGTTCCCTTGGTTGAAAAGAAAGAGCTCGTGTTCCACAAGGAAATCACAAATCTTGCGAAGGTACCATGGGCACATTTTCAGGACTGCCCAGAGGTAGTCCTGAAGGTGCGCCCACGTTACCTGTATACGTCTTAAATCCTACAAAATCCCTAAACGCGTTCAACTACTTCGTGTATGGCAAAGCATCGGCGGTGGACTACCTCCGCCAAGCGCCGAAGATCCGCGCCGTGCTTCCCCGCAGGCGTGGCCGAGCCGGGTCTTGGTTTGAGCGGACAATCTTCCAAAAGTTTTTATTAAGCCTCCTTCAGCGCAACGCGAGTTTTTAATGCACAATTTTTTAGTGTTTCGACTTGGTTGCTGTCGTATTCAAGGTTTCTTTCCGAGAGCACCCTACGCATTGCATTTATACGTGCCGTGATGGCCCAACGTTGTACGGAGATAGTAAGACGAGGCGCAAGCGGTCTGCAGTCTCGCATTTGTCGCGTTGCGCCATCTGTTGACAGCACATCGAAGTAGGCTAGCACTGCCTGCCAACCTGACGACGTCGGCGGCCTATTGTGACGCTTGAGGGGTTCGAAGATGGCTGGTTCCTTTTTTTTCCTACTACCTTGTTTATCACTCTTTTTTTTTATTATATGTATACTTTTTGTTATTTTTTATGAAGCGGTGGGACCGTCCAGTGAAAATTAAAATAGGCAGAAAATTAAAATAGGCAGTCAGATAAAGTGGGTCCTGGAAAATGCACCTTTCTTTGCGAAACCAGTTCGTGTCAACAAAAACATTGGTCTCTTTTTTCACCTTCAATGAAATTCAACTAGTGTCACCAGGCATTATCAATTCCCATGTAAGAAAAAAAAAAGAACGCCACTTATTTAAGATTTTTTTTTTTTTTGCGTTACAACGATAGGTTAAGAAAAATCACGAAGAATGCACGCTTCGCTGACAGACACTTAGAACACAAGGACCCTAACCGCAAACTGAGAGGGCGGCAATATTTTCCTTTCAACGCTTGGGGTAAACGAAAATATTGAAATAATATTCTTTTCGATATGCACTTACATTGCAAACTGTACCGTCGTCTTCATTAGCCCGGCGGAAAGGCCATCCTTTGCAGATGTACTTACAGCGTAGTCGATTCTGTGAAGCACACAAGGCAAATGCATATGTTCAAGTTGGCGACACATTCAAAGTACCTATTGGTTTAAGAGAAGCAATTCAAAACACAATAAACTTTACTCTTTCTTATTAATTTTTCCAGAAAACTCAATAGATTTAGAAGTGCATACCTCTATTGAGTTACAAGCAAAGTATAGGACAACATTTCAACCTAATTTTGGAGCACGAGGTCTCAATTTTCTACGAGATCTTCAGAAGCCCGATTCGGTGTGTAAAAGGTTTGTGTTCCTTTAGTAAACAGTCTGTCGAAAGTAGCGCTTGTATTGTGTCTCTTACTCTCTGTCCCTGTCTTGTGGGGCGCGCTCTTGTCAAAAGGATCGACGTACCAACTGGTCCGTCTACCACTATTGATACGCAAAACCCATATTGGCGAATATAACCTGGTAACTGAAGGAACTTTAGATTACTCACTACACAGAACACTTCTAAACATATAACCTTGGCGATCAACTGCGCACTCTAGTCATTAAGTAAATATTGTCAAAGTCAATTGACAAAAGGGATTTTATTGTAATAAATGTCTTCGCATTTTCAAGCCCTCTGCGCATTATTCTATCATGCGTTCGCAAACTGAGATTTCAGGAATTAACTTTTTTTTTTGTATTTGCAAATATATTTCATAAGATGGTCCCAAACAAAACATTGAATCGGTCAAAGAACATTTTTTACCATTATTATACAAGTAAGCCATATTCATCGTGTTGCCCTCCTTCACTTCTGGACAGTTAACCAGAAACGTAAATCAAGCATGGACCTACTGCATCTAAGTCGTAGGTCAACGGCTTAGGAAATATAACAAGGGGATCTTACCTCCCGCCGAGGGAAGGCCCTTTCGCATTTCTCTTTGCTCTCTTCTTCAGCAGGGGGTCGTCGACGTCCGTAAGCTGCAATCAATATAAATATGCTTGCATCACCGCAGATATTATAGAGTTTAATTCTACTTCTGCGGTAAAATAGTGACTGCATTCATAACAATCGTTTCACGTGCGAACAAAACAGGAGCGGGGCATGTGAGGTTTCAGTTCAGTCATGTTACCATATTGGTGTTATTTATCGGAATTAATATATATAGCCCAGATTTGCTGTTTTCTCCGATTTATGTTTCACAACTTTATCAGTGATGAATATTTCATATCCATCGTTCACTATTTGTTCTGTTATATTTTAGTATCGGAAAAATATGGTTTTCTTCTCAACCACATGACCTGAAATAATAAGATAAATTATGTCCAGCGCAAGGCAAATATATGGCGACTTTCGACTGCGCAAAAAGTGTCGTGGAAGTACAGCTCACGATTACGATGATACGATGAGAGAAATATAAGGTAAGTAATTACGCTCTGTGGATACCAGGGTTATGGCGGACTGGTTCGCGAGAAGAGGAAAAAAATATGCACGGCTTGCATTGACCTCACATAAGCTGCCATTGCTCCCTACCATGCTCCTGTGTTTGTACCTTCTGCAGCGTACATTTCGCGCACCATCAAATTTGCTTTTCTCGACAAACCTTGACGAGAAGAACAAATTCGATGGTGCCAAATATTTGCTCCAAAACGTACGGGCACAGGAGCATCGCACGGAGCGACTCCGGTTGCTACATTGTCTTTTGACGTCACGCGCAAGGCATGTATAGATTACATTTCGCGTGGTCCCTCTTTCTATTAGCTTTATAACATATAGGAAACATGCGAATAACATACGTTTTAGTACATACGCATCATATTTTTATTAGCGGCGAGATGTTTTAGTGGCGCCCTCCTACGGTTCCCCCTTGTGACGTCATTACCTTGCAAACAACACGTTCGACGGTGTTTGTAAATAGCATGGTGGAAGCTTGAAATCACTGCGCTCTCAAAGGAACACTGCCAACACCGTCAAAATAAAAGTCCTTTCATTCCCCTTATTTCCGTCGATGATAAATCCTTTTCTGACGTCATAGTCAGCGTTCGGCCAATCGCGGAAGGCCGACCAGACCGACGCTTTCGATCGCGCACGTCGCCAATAGCCATACAAGTGCGCACCCCCGAATCGTTTGCACTGATGGTTATTCTGTGCTATCAAGCGGTCACCTTTTCTTGTTTCAGTCTGACAGCTTTAAAAAAAGAAAAACAAAACGCGGGGAGTGGCTTATTTGTTGGCAGCCGTTGCTTCGGTATTCTTTCTGTGGCGTTGTTATCAGCTAGTGCCTCAATCCCATTGACTGCAGAACGGCATTTAGTTTCTCAGCAACGCCCGGCATTTCTCAAACTGTCAGGGACCATAGCGGGAACTTCTTTGAAATTTAGAGGTTTTCAGAAGCAGGGAATTTAGATGCGGTACGTATTCAGCGAGCGCGTGCAAAAAGGTATAAATAACACGAGATTGTATAGACCTTTGCATTTCTTATCACCCGGGCAAAAAGTGCTGAGTCACTGAGCTGTGGACGCACGCGCAGCGTCTGATATAAAGCACAGCAGAGTAACAGCGTGTGCTCAGAAGGAGTTTCACAGCCCAGCAGACAAAGATGGCAGCACGAAGGAAGGCAATTTTCGGAAAGATCTATACGTTTGAAACAAGGTCACTTTAAAAATACTCAATTAGCTTCTGAAAAAGGCTTTTAATAATATATCTAAACTAAAATAAAATAAAACGCGTTCGGGTTAGTTATCAAGTTAAGTAACCCGATTTTGCTTTACTGTCCACACAATAAATTATATTACCAGAATGTTATGTAATCTCCTCGTACTTCTTTTCAAATCTGTGACACTATCACGTGAAAGCGCGTCCGCATTAATCGTTCTAAAAAATATTTTTTTTCTCGCAATTGGTGTTTTAAAAGCGCATAAAAAACTTTTATTTAAATAAATAGCTTTCTTTAGTGAAGATGAATCAATCAATTCCTCCGCATCAACAGTGTGCCAGTTCCTCAACTAAGCAGCCGGTATTAAGGATATGCCCCAACACTTACCCGAATCGACAAGGACGAGACAGACGGCGACCAAGAGGAGGATTGAAAGTGCTGCTCTCATGTCTGCGATCTTGCAAGCTGACGTTTGATCCCTGCGGTACTCCTATTTATATAAACCTGATGTTAAGAAATCGCAGGTAATCAATCGCCAGATGTTTTTTTGCCATAAGTGCGTGATCTTCATATGCGCAGATAGGCATGCGTTTTATCAGCACACCCACGGCTACATCGACAATAACACATGAGATATATGCTTGCATGTACAGCGTTTTATTATCTTATACTTCTCTTTACGGAACAATCGAAATATTGATCAGACAATCACGAATAACGTCAGGTGCTTAATGATAAAACCCATGCTGCGTATGCGAGTGTTTATATTTTTTATAGAGAATCAAAATCGCAAGTTTTGCATTCACAGTGTTCGATATCTATACGACAAGCGAAAAAATACACACCAAGAATAACAGTTGTTACCGTGGCGCCTACATTTAGATTGTGGAAACATGAGACGCTTCAGTTAACGACTGACGGTCAACGTCCAAAGCCTGGGCCACACTCCTCATATACATCATACAAACCACAGTTTGCAAACACAAGTCACCGCAATATCCGTGGTTTGAATGCCTCAAGCCAAGGTTTCACCTTAAACTCGTTGAACTCATTGCGGCATTCAAAATACTGATCTCGCAGTGAATCGCGTTCGAATCTGTATGCAGACTGTCGTCTGACGGCCGGGGGTCAACGGCTTCTCATCTTCAGAATCATACACATGAACGTGTGCACTCGAGCTTATAGTAACAATACGCTTCATTAAAACATAAAGGGGCAATAGGTTAGAGAGGATTAGGCCCCCAGTTTTGAAACTTAATTCTTGATCCCGGTCGGAGTCCCTATAGTCGGTTGCTAGCTAAGAAAAAACCGGAAATGCCTCTCAGAGGAAAATGTAATCCTACGCCGAGAAACGCCAGCCAATCGTTTTCATGACGTCACGATTCCGTGGACCAATCGCGATCCTTTTGAAAAAAAAAAAAGAAAAGCCCAACATGGCTGCTGGCCTTAGCAACGCGACGCTAGTTTCTCGTGACAATTATTCTGCTTTTTTGCACCGTGTTTTACGTGCCCGAGGTTACGCCACGAAATCTTAATGGTATCGGCTTGCGTTTGCAGCAGTTTTTGCGCGACATCGTGAGAATCCAGCGACGCTATCGCCAACGAAAATTTCGAAGCGGGCGCGAGGCTTAGCACTGCTGAGAGGTATGTTAGACAGTATCTTGGACAGAAAATGAATTGGGAAGACGGTACATTGGACATGACTTTCTTTCTTTACTAAACAGCTATTTCTTTGACAAAAACGTATTCTAAATTATTTAAATGTCCTGAATGAATTAAATAAATATTGTAGTAGTTTAAGACACGTTTCCTGGAGGAAGAAAAAGCAACGTTGCTAGGGAACTACTTTCTCGACGGCGGACGCACTTCAGATGGGCGCAATGCGCTTGTGGGTGGAGCTAAAAGATTGTTCTTAGGTTGCATCCGACTATAGAAATGCTATCCAACCAAACTCGACTTCTTTACTTTCATTAAAAGACAGTCACATGTCGTCAAAAGAATGTTTTTGTTCCCTGCATCCTGTTGTCAATTAACTTCACCTTTTAGCCGTTCCAGAAATGAACGATTTCAGGTCCTATTTTTATTTATTTCAAGGATAAATGACTCAGGCTCGAAAAATGTCTCCAATAAGGTGTGTGAAGCATCGCGGGGAATGCTTGGTCCCTGATATTTCCAATAAGCAATTAGTTCTAGTTTCTGGGCGTTCCGGCAGCTTGATCCTATCGGGCGAATGAACTATCAATAAGGAAATAGGAAAAATCAGATAACCTCATGGTGGACTTTCCTTATGGCATCCGATTTCACCTTCACTATTATTTACTATAATGTTCAGTACAAGTATTCAAGCTTTTGACACTGGGGTGGAGTGTAGAGTGTAGAGCGTAGTGTGTAGCAGTAAATGGTGCACTCTAAAAGAAAACAGCGACGGCGCGTTTTCCTCCTTTCTAGTGACTCGCCCCCAAGCGGACACGAGAAGAAGAAAAAAACAAATTATTTTTCTTTTTTTTTTCTTTTTTTTTTTGGGGGGGGGGGGGGGGTAAACAAAAAAATAGCAAATACACTAGGCATCGCCGAAAGCTCATTCTCTGCCCAAAGGTATCGCTTGAAGTCACAACCAGATGCCAAAGTTTCAGCCCGATCCAATTCTTCATTCAAAAATTGTAAGTGATTTTTAAAAAGTTCAATGGAAAAATGGCGACCGACAGAGTTTCCGAATACGTGGGGCTCTAAGGCACCAGAAACCGTAAACGGGTGAAAATGGGCTCCATCTTCCCATAGAACTTTTTTAGAAAATCACTTATAACTTTTGAATAAATAATCGGACCATGCTGAAACTTTATCATCTGGAATTGTGACCTCTAGCGCTACCTTTGGGTGGAGAATGAGCGCTAGGCGATGCCTAGTTTATTTTTGCAGTAAGAATACCCTGTAAACGGTTTTTAGGACACCATGTATACCGGACAAGCACTACCTGTATACTCTTTGTCCTTGCCCTTTTGCGCTATTTTATATGTATAACTAAGATGAACTAATTAGCCCAACAACGTACCCTACTAAACAAGATGTGTTTCTCCTTCTCCAGGCAGACGGGAGATAATGTTCCTCCCTCCCATCTCATCTTCTTTCAGTTTCGTTTTTTGGGCACGTCGTGCACGTTTGTTAATAAACGCCATTGAGTTGATTGAGCTCCAGCGGCAACGACGGCGGACTGTAATTCAGTCTCCCAGTTGAAACACGCAGAGCATGCACCTCGCTTGCATTGACTCTTTTACCTCTAATTTTGAAAAAAAAAAAAAAAAACGTTAGAAACATCGACGTTTCCGAGCAGTGTCAGTAGTGCTAAGTACAGTGGGCTGAAATGGACGTCTCCGGAACTTTGCATCCAAGTCAGGCAGGTTTTCCGGTCGGGTCCCTGCGCATCTTCTGCGCTACGTTTGGGTCGGTTTCCTGTTAGCGAGTGCCATCAGACGATAAATGCATTTTTTTTTTTTTTTGCATTTCCGTGAGTACGAAACATCGTCACGTTGGTGTTGTGCGTTGTGAACGAAGTCTGAAATCGTCGCCGATGTCTCCATTTGTTTCTCGTACCAGTGGTGTAAAAGCGATACGAGATTATGTGTACAATCGGAGGTTGATTTAGCACTTTACGTTAAAGTGTTTAATAAGACCGTTTGTTGCGACTGTGGTACAATGCATTGACCTGCGGATAGTCATGTTGCAACGCTGGTCTGAAAAGTAGCTCCTTTCGTTGTTACCATTGTAACTGTCATCTACAATGTCCTGTTGTCCCCTCCCCGAGAGCGATTGCGCTCACGGGGAGGGAACCATGGCTGAACATGCTTGAAATATGGCGGAGTAGAAGCACGTATAGTCTTTTTTCAAAATTTTTGAGTCCACCGCGCGCGTGGCTGGAGCTAGCTGCGAGTCTTTTTTAGAGCGAGCGGGAACTTCGCTCTCGCGTCGCGCTCGCCTTGAGAAAAAATAGAGCGCGAAATAGCGAAAGCGAAGTACCCCATCGCTCCCAACAATCTCGCAGCCAGCGAGCGCCGATGATAAGAGCACCGCTGCAGGGAAGCGAGCCCGCTGTTGTAAGTTTGAACTCTGACTCGGAGCTCGGGAGGGCAAGAAACAGAAAAACCGACAACGAGATGGCGATAAATCTCACGTGGTACGGCGCAGCGTAAGAACGTAAACAGACAAGACGAAAAATAAGCACACACAAAGAGAAAACACCGATCACGACGAAAGCACGTGGATGCTCGGGCAACCTCGACTGGCACCTGACGGACTGAGCTTTGCCCGCGGCCTCACGTCATGTTTACACCAGCTCGGGCGAACTTGAGCAAGACGAGATGCCTGCCGCCGCCATCAACCATCTGGGGGTGCGAAAAGCGGACGGGAAAAGAAGCGGAATTTGAAACGTCGGTGAGAGGAGAGAGAAGGAAGACGCGAGCAACAGCCACAGCCCGGTGTGGGAACAAGAGAGATCGAAAACGAGCGCCCCGAAAGAAGCCACGCAAAAAGAACTCTTCTGTGTTTAACGAAGCTTAAGTTGTAGATTTAGAATAATAAACAGTTCGTACTGGGTTAAACCTTGCGATTGTCATTTACAACAAAACTTTCTTGTGCCGAAACCCGGGATTAAGCGCCAACGCAACCCCCGAACGAAGAAATGGCAACTCAGGCTACAATCGACCGACTGAGACGCAGAAGAGCAGTGGTCCGAACGTCAGCAACGAAACTCCTGAACGAAATCGATGTTCTGCTGGCCGCGGAAGACACGCATACGGGTGAGCTTCAAGAAAAGTTTGAACTTCTGGTGTCCAGAGAATCAACGTTAAAGGAACTGGACCGTGAGATGGAAGCAGTGGTGGACTGCGAATCGATAGAAGAGGAGATGACAGGCGCGGAAGTTTACCATGAAAGAATCAGCGTAACGAAGACGCGATTGCGAAACAAGCTGACAGAACGTGAACAAGCCGCTGCCAGGTTATCTTTGATGCAGAACACGGCCGTCAAAACTATCGCAAATCAAGGACGGATGACTACGACAGTGAAGCTCCCAAAACTTGAGATAACGAAATTCGAAGGGGACATACGAGCATGGCAAGGATTTTGGAGCCAATTTGACTGCACCATTCACCAGAACGAAACTCTCCCGGAAATCGACAAGTTCAAGTACCTCAAAAGCTACCTGACCGGAAAAGCTGCTGCGGCAATTGAGGGACTCGCCGTTACTGCCGAGAACTATAAAGTTGCAATCATCCTCCTGAAGGAAAGATTTGGTCAACAGGAGCTGATCATCGAAAGCCATCTGTCACGGCTTCTAGAGATCAAACCAGTCCATGACTCCAGGAACGTCAATGCACTCAGAGCGTTATACGATGAAGTGGGGACGGGAGTTCGAAGTCTTGACGCCCTGGGGGTTCAATCGGATACCTATGGAACGATGCTCCTTACCGTTCTTCGAAAAGTCGTGCCGGCCGATCTGAGCCTGGAGTACAACCGGAGGTCCGCCTCACGAACAGCGACAAAGCACAACGAGCTGAGAGA